ATTTCAAAGCCAAAAAGATAAATCTTGAAAATCTTATATGAATTTTTTGTCAATTTTTTTTTTTTTCATTTTTATCATTGTAAAAGTAAAATTGATAGGAAATGAGTATTGCTGGACCCAAATACCCCATGTTTTGAAAACCGGACCGAACCGGCCGGTTCGACCGGTTCAACTGGGAACCGATCCCGAATCCGGTTCTTAAAGGCCAAAAAACCAGTATTCGTGTAAACCGGTGAAAACCAGTGAAAACCGGTCCGGTTGAACCGGTAAAACCGGTAATTTTAAAAAATATAATTTTTTCATTTTTTGTGTTTTTTATATAATTAAAATATAATTATGATATCATCCGGTTTTTCCGGTTTTTGAGACTGGTCCAACCGATTGGACCACTTGAACCATCGAACCAGTAAGACGACCAGTTCAGTCTCCGGTCCGGTTTTTTAAACCTTGCAAATACCATTTAAACAAGAATTTTATACGTTTTGTCTAGAAGGCCCAGTAAAGGGCAAAACAGGAAATTCACCTAGGTGGGCTAGGATTATAATAAATAGAGAGAAAGGTCACAGTAGACGGATGTCTGGAAAATTGATAGTGTAATACTTTGTATTGGCTCTTAAGCTTTGGCTGAGAGAGAGAGAGAGAGAGAGAGAGAGAGAGAGAGAGATTCCCTGGGCAGTCATTTTAGATTCTGTTGATCGTTTAATCAATTAGTCTATTTCATCATCTTCTTTGTTTTCAATCGTTCTTTGTTTGATCCTTTTTCATCAAACCCTAATTTCTGTTCTTCATCAAAAATCAACTCTGAGAACAATATTATGAAAAAAGAGTAACTTACACTGTCATAAATTTCTCCAAGATGAATATGCTTTCCTTTTGATATCTTTGGAATTTGACCTGTTCTAGTGTTAATCAAAGAGTCTTTTAGCTAGTTGTTCCCAGATAGCTCCTTCATCAACTATTAGAGTGTCAGGCATAAATTGTAAAATTATAGTTCCCCTGTTCTTGCTCATAACTCATTTTATGTGGCTGTTCATATCATCATCTGCAGCCAAGGGACAAATGGTTAGCAACTTAGCATACGGGTTTTAAGAAGAAAAATATCTACCCCTCTGAAGTTGTTAATCTAAAAACATACTCTAAGCAATCAATGTCAAACAAGTTTGGTATTCTAAAAGTAAAATGTCTGGATGGGTTAGATTTTCAAAGTGAAATTGTCTTAAGAGGACGACAAGTAACAGGTAAATATTTGTATAGGATATATATGGAAATTATAAATGCTATAAGTGGTTAGATTAGAATAATATAAATTCTCAGTAAGGAAATAAGTAGAAGTACGCTGTCTTAATTGATTAATGTTCAATGCATATACCAGGTTATATTTTTAAAATATAAAGTTACAACTTAGAGTACGATGCTACAATTGGTTAGATTTTGAAAGCATAACATCTTAATAAGACAAAAAAAAAAAAAAAAAAAAATTGAAGTTGTAATGCTATAAATGAAAACCGAAAACAAGTATGTTTAGTTTTTCAAAGTACAATGACTTAATACAACAAAATTATAGTACAATGTTTAGCTTTTTTCCAGATTTCTTAAACTCAGATAGCCACAAAAGGGATAAATACAGAAATATGAGCCTAATAAAACCCCAGGATGGCAATGTTGTTGTTAGCCAACAATATTGTAATAAGACTAAAATCGAGTAAACAAACAGAGTAAACCTAACACATTATCAAAGAAGTATTTCATTAGTAAATGCAATGGCAATGGATGAGAAACAATGAACATCAGGTGATGGTCTTCCATGATCACATACACAAAAATAGATTTCACATTGTGTGGTTGTTCATCATCGTCTGCAGCCAAGGAATAAATGGTTCTTTTGAAGTGACCATAAGAACAATGAAACAACATTTGATAAATGTTATGTTTTATAATGTCTAAAGATTAAAAGGTATCAAAGTATAATTAATGGTTAGATTTCAATATACAGTTTCTTAATAGGATATATAACAGTGCAAGTATAATGATATAACCGGTAATCAAAATCAAACAAGTTTGATATTTTAAAAGTAAAATGTTCTGGATGATGATCATATATAACAACTGAGAAAGGTAGAAACACATAACAGCAAGAAATACCTTTATACCACCCAAGCCATGGGAGAATCAATCAGTTAGTTGATTAACTGTCATTGGAACCCCTGAAAATTTAAAATCAAAATATATTTAAAAGTCCAATGCTTCTATGTGTGTGTCACCATAGCGACTTTCTTTAGAAGTCTTAGTTGCTTCCTTTGGCTGTTTATTAATTTGTTGCTTAAGAAAGAAAGCTCAGGACCTAGAAAACACATGCATCGTAGATTTAAAGTGTCATAAATCATTCACTACAAGAAAAGGGACTTATAGGGACGAACATTGTCGTCTCTATAGGTTCAAAAGCAAAGCAGCTTCAAGGCTTCATCAATTTAGCCACTAAACTATTTTATTTTTTTCTACAACAATTAAACAACTATACCTTTTTTATCGTTCAAAAAACAATCATCCACAAATAAGCCACTACTGCTAATTTGATAAAACAGTTGTCCTTTTCTGTTAAGTGTAAAATAATGAATGTAGAACCGATTTTTATTTTTAACTTTTCAAAATCAAGTTGGCATTATATACATAATACCAAAGAGATATATATGTACCTGGATTTTGAGATCTCTTCTCTAGGAGGACGTTTACATTTCTTCCTCTTCTCAAAAGTGGCAGGTTTTTCTTCTTGTTTTTTTCATTAGGTATCTCCACCAAAACTGACAAGAGTTAAGATTACACAACAAAAGACAGATGTTTAGAATTACTAAATTAGCCTCAAAGAAAACCTTTTTGATGCAGTGAGCAATCATTGTCCCTGTAGGCGGGCACTCTTCTACTACCTATTTTTGATGATAAGTTTTAATGGTTTTTATTTTGAGCATTTTTCTGACTCTTGAATGAAAAGGACAAAAAAAAAATCCAAGCTTTTGTCCACTGCATCAAAAAGGTGGAATCAGAACTAGCTCTCTGTTTGTTGTTGTTTCTTTTTTACTTATAAAATGTTACCTTTTATCCCATTTTAATGATCACCCATTTTGCTCGGACTCCTTTACTTAATTAGCAACTCCTTTCCAGCTGTATTGGGTTTCCCAACCCAGTCATTGATTCAGCCTGGCATAACAGAAGGTGATAACTGATCATTAAAAAAAATTGTAATTAAAAGGGCACTAAACCTCAACAACTTAGCAAGTGCATGTATCACCAAGTTTCTTTAAATAATTACATGGCATGAGTGTGTGTCTGAGTATGTGATTCATTCATTCTAGTTCTTTTAACAAATAACAAACAGTACACCATAAATTATTTACCTCAACTTCTCCACATTGCCGGATAAAAAAGGGTAAACAAGGGCTTTCACTTGAAGATGCTCCTAAATTAAATTAGAGTTCACCACACTCATACTGTGTTCAAACCCTTCAATCTTTTCTAAGGAACGACGACTTCTCTACAGATCTTATACCTCCATCAAAACAATCAACCTCAAGAACACTTACAATAATTTCTTTTATTTATATTCTACTTCTACATTTGCTTCAAATTAACCATTACTACTTTCATATCCTTTTTATATGTAAAAACTTACAATCTTTTCCCATTTTTTCAAACATGCATGCACTTGCTTACCGGGAGAGACATTGCACAAGCCTTGAGAATTCCTTTGCAAGGCATTATGTTCAGATAACACAGAATCAAGCATCGTCCTTTTGCTCCTTCAAACCATATTTTCAAAATTTTAAAAACAAATCAATAACATTCAGTTCAAGTGTATTACTTGAGAGAGAAATTTACCAAAACTGCAGGTTTTTCCAAGGAAGCATTGCCTCAGCACCAAATAAAACGGCTCTGCTATTAACACATCAACCTGTACACAACAAAAGAAAAGCTCTTATTAATTGTTGGAAAAAACAACTAAATAAACCACTTGATTGTTACTTAAAGTGAACAGAAGCGCTTTTTCCTAAAATGTAGATGGAGTAACCTTCTTTTGATGAGTATCATCCATACTCCGTTGTTGTTTGTTTCCTGTTGCTCATAACTTCTACTCGATCCATTGATGAGTAACCATTTTCATCAGCAAAAGCTTTCAAATATTGGAAACCCTTCTCCCGAATACCAGGAAACAATGATATTATGTGTGCACTCTTGGAAAGATGAGCAATGTTGATTGTTAAAAAAACAATGTCATCAGAACCAACACACAAATGAGACTCTTTCTCTTCCAACTGCAATGCAATCACATGAAATTCCACATCATGTGTGTATTTGTATCATAATTGATGAGACTTGAGAAGGAGAAAGAGATTTTACAGCATGGTTTATGGCCTTTTAACATGGAAAGCCTCCAGTAGCTATCCCCATAGTGAGACTGATGTTGCAACTTCAACAGCATACTCAAGGGCATGAGTAATCAAATTTGTAGGAAGCTCATCAAAGCCATAGCCATTACAGCAAAGGACTTTTGACTTTTGTATATTGAGGAATTATGATCTGTAAAGTTGGTATAAGCTACCATAAACTTGAACGAGCCTTTAATTAATCATGTATACCTGCAAAAACCCATGTCTTTGTAAAGGATCCACCAAGACCAAACATAAAAGTGTCTCGTATGCACTACTGGAGCTGTTGATTATATCATCATCTTCTCCCATGCCTATCAGATTAATCCCCTCATCTTGAAGAACATCCAAGAGAAGTTTTGCATATATGATAATGACAGGAGGGGTGTGCAGATGTGCATTAAAAATCATCATACGCATAACACAGAAACCTAGATAAAAAAAAAACTGGTGTAAATTTATAATTTCAAAATGATTCCAAAAACTAGAATTTGATTTTGTACAAGTAGGAAGATATGGATAACTATAAACACAACATACCTTATGGAGCATCAAAAATATCATTTCCAAATTCACCCTTGGTTAGCACTTTGTGATGAATAGTACCAGAAACTGCACCTGTAGGATCCTAAAGCTTAAACCAACAAAATAAGTAACTAAAAGTTAACTTACATAAACAATTTCTTTACAAGTTTTAGTTGCTTCCTTTGGCCATTTATTTGTTGCTTAAGAAACAAAGCTCAGGACCTAGAAAACACATGCATCGTAGATTTAAAGTTTCAAAAATCATTTCATACATCGTTATAAACTACCTATATGAAGCATATAAGAAATACATGTATACCATAAGCATCATTCTTCAATTAGTAGGATTTAATGAATATTAAAATTTTTAAAATAAGTTGACTAACCTAAACTGCAATAAAAATTATCACGACAAGAAACAAAAGTTGGTTCCCAAATATCCTCCTAATTCAGGGAAAGGAAGACAAAAGAAAATAACAACAAGTAAATATTATTATTTGAAGTTTGTTTTCAAAGCCAAAATGATTAACCTAGACATCATCAATAAACATGTATTTCTGTAGTCATAACAGTTAAAATATATAAATATATAAGAAAATGAATTATGTTGTAAGCTAACCTCCAGAAGTACACCACCATTTCCTGTATTGCACTATTGTATATCAGCTGAAAGTCTCCATTTTAGGTGATAAAAATAATCAAGACTAATTAATAAGTGAAGATAAAAAAATAAATACAAGATCTTGGTGAAATATCCAATTTTAATTTTCAAGAACCAACTCATCTAAGTACAAAACCTCTACTCCATGGATCATCCACAAGATGAACATCTTCTACCTATCAAAATGAATTCAAATGTTTTATATATTATATGTCTTTGTGATATGAACTATATAGATAGTTAAACATAAACAATAAACCAAGTTCAGTGATCACCATTTCTGAATGTCATCTACGTATTCAAATTTAAAACCAGCTAAACATATAATACTATAAATAGCCCAACAACTGCCATTAAAAAAGCAAATGTATTGAGTCTATATATATATATATATATATATATATATATATATATATATATATATATATATAAGTTACCTGAAGCCTAAGATAAGCAAAAATTGGAGTCTCCAATAGGTGGATCAGTTTATCCAACTGAACCAAAAACTTTACATTAATATCCTCTTCGGTTAGGGACTGGATCACAGAACTCGTATGCTCGTAAGCCTACAACACAATATAAAAAATTATCTTATAAAAAAAAAAAACTGATCCCCTGGTTTTTATCATGTGAGAAAGAGCATAAAAGAATAGAAAATTATTTTCTGAGACTTGCCTGTGCTAATAAGCAAAGACTTATTATGGCCATTGATGAATGGCTCCATGATGTATAAAGTGAAAGAAAAAAGTCTTTTCCAGCAGCATTAACTAATGAAAGCTTTAGAAGATCTCGTAGCTCAGCCAATTCAGAAGATGTAAGCAGAATCAAATTCAAAGCCTGAAACATAACAATAATAATAATTAAAAACAATAATATTTATAAGTTGAATATATAACAACAGGTGGCAGTTTTACCTGAGCCAAAGTAGATGCAAAGTCCAGGTCAGCATCCCCTTCAAGAATTGTGGAGAGTTCCCTGTATACCCTTTCAGCATCTAGAAGCACACATAATCTCCGGATTATCAAAGCACCACGCCTAAAAAAAAAAAAAAGCGAATGGCATTTAAATGAGAAAAAGAAAAGAAAAAATAGAGAGCTTACTTTTCAAGGAGTGCGTTATCTGTTCGAAAATTATGAACTAAAAAGACAACAAGCAGGTGAAAGTTATATTCATCTTTCGCTATGCGCGCATGTACTTCAAGAACCAAGAGGACTACCTGTGAAATTAATTAAAAACAAAAATATAATAGAGCTATAATCAATATGAGAAATAATAATAATACACATTATGAGATAACAATAGTAAAGATTACCTGATCGGAGGGATCTGATAGTGCTTTCAAAAGTGTGTCAAAAATATCATTTAAAAAGGACAACACCTGTGACACATTAAGGTTGACCAGAATGTTGACCACTACATAACTAAAAACTACAATATATGTATTCTGATGAATGGAAGTTTACCTCTGAGCGATGTCTATTCAAAAGGGCTGAAATCCAGTGCAATGATTCAATTCGTGTAGCCTCATATTCACTAGACAACTGTCTGGTAAAAGGGTAAAAAAGGAAATGCTAAATACCAACATATATATTACAATTTAGAATAACAATATAAGGATATAGACCTTTTTGCAATGGACAGAATTGCCCCTACATCAAAACCTTCAGCTGGGTCAGCCTCAATTGCACGAAGCTCATCATTTGTTTCACGAGCTACCTGAGAACCATAAATAACACAACAATTACATTACATATTAAATGTAAAAACATTTACATTTTTTTAAAAAAAAAAAGGGGAGTATAAACTTACAACTCGTATTTTCTCTTCTTTATCAGCTATGCATGGCAAGATAGCTCCCAATATATCAGCATAATAAGGAACAAGTTGATCTCCACCAAGTTTTACAAACTCATTTATCTGCACAAAATCCAACAAATACTTCAACAATTTTTTTTTTTAAAGTAAGGTTGAAAATTGAGAAAGTATTCTTAGTTCTTACCCATGTGATTGCAGTCCAACGAGTAAATTCATCAGGGGAAGATGCACGTTGTACAAGTATTTCAGCCATTCGACCATAATCTACAGACTTCAAGAGTAGCACTGCTACAGTCAGAAATTAACAAATAAACAATACAATTAAAAAAAAAAAAAAAAAAAGGTAAGATTTCATAAATGATTATGATATCTTGAAAGAATTCTTACTGGGGAGTTCTTGATTTCTTCAAGGAATTCAGAGAGTGCTGAGTCAGCTTGTTGTCGGATTTCAAGGCTGGAATCACTTAACATATTAAATAGACCTGATGAGAGCTAGTCATGTCAGTTGACTTCATAACACAAAAACATGTAAAAAAAACTGGCTGTAAAATTAAAATAACATTTTTACCATCAAGAAAATCAGGAAGAAATCCCAGCATATCAATGTCTGGAACACTGTCCAACACTGTGATCCATCCCACCAAAAATTGGCGAACATATGGATTCAAGACATTCATACGCTCTCTCAATAATGGTATAAATTCTTCAATGCTGACCAAAAAAACATTAAATTATTAAAAAAAAAAAGCCAAATATTACAAGGGTTTAAGTATTAAAGAAAAGATGATCACCTGAACTGATCGCTCTCTGTCACAATGTCCTGTTTCCAACAAGTAGCAAAAAGTTCAGAAGACTGATTAACAGGCATTACAAAAAGAAAAAGCTGATTACCTTCACAAGTCTATCTAAAAGATGAGCAGCACTTTGTACATTGGGATCTGAGTCTGCTGAAAGCTTACACAATGCATCGAATATCTTATTGAAGTGTACAATGAACTCTCCTCTCACAACCTGCAAAAAGGCATGAAATAAGCTCAAAGTGTGTGGTATTCAAGGGGTTGGTTGCATGGTTTGATGAGATCATAATTCTCTCACCTTGGCTCATTGGCTAGGCCTTTGAGAGACATATTCAACCCTGAGCAAGCAATCATCCTATCAGAAGATTGTATGTATTCTCCATTTTGTTTCATTCAATCCTCAATATCAATCATCCATTGTTTGTTTATTCTGCTTCAATTCCTCATCACTTTGTTATGAATCCAAGAATTAAAACAATGAATATATTATTACCCTTCTCTCCCTCCCTCTGCTGCAATATGCTTTTCAAGATCCTTACTTCTCCATAGTTGCCTCGGTAGACTTCTACCTGCACACAGTTAAAGCACCATCAAAAGTACATTAATTAATTACAGCTGCCTATCATTTACAGTGTAAAAAGGTTTTTTTTATTTTTTTGTTCATCTCCTTTTTCAGAAAATAGTTGACATAAACTGCCAAAATACCTTTTCCTTCTTGTGTTGTGTCTTTCTTTCCTGGAGAAAAATACCCATTTTGCCTGATTTCTACATTTTCTTCATAAGTTCATAACAATCCCTGTGCCTAACAGGGCATATTTGGCTCTTTCTCCAACTACCTTGAAGCTGTATATAAAACCATGTGTTGATAAAATTAGTTTTCTCCATACATTAAATTTATTTGTACATACGAACAATCATGTCTCCATAGCAGAAAAACCCTAGAGTAAAAAAAAACCTACAAGAGTGAAAGCAATGAAAAGATGCAGACCAAGAACCCCAACGAAAAGATCAACAAAATGCAATTTCTCTTTTAAGTTGTAATGCGTCTGGTAAATTTACTAAAACTGACAAAATCAAAGTTTACAAAAAAATACGTCAACCAAAAGATAGAAGAGGAACGCAGGGTAATACTAGAAACCCCAATGAGAATAAAAAAACAGCAATTAACCTATGATTCTTTCTTAATCAAACATAAATTTTAATTTTACAAGAAAATTAAAATATCATAATCACTACTAGAAAACCCTAGATAAAACTTACATCGATCTTGATAACTTCTTGGACTAGACAGGTGAATGAGAGTCTACTGCAAAGGTTGGGGGTCTTTTGGTCTCCTGCAGTGGAATTACATAGATCGCCATGGGTCTCTGAATATTTTAATTAGATTTGTTGATAGCGGAATGACTGAAGAACGCAACCCTTGTGATTTCCATCGGTGTTTAGATCTCCGGCAAAGGATGGCGGAGCTACTGGAATCGCTATGTATCTGTGACTCTTTGGGGTGTTTTGGGTCTGTTGGGAGCGGGACATCCGAAGAAGAACGTATAAATAGCGGGAATACTAAGCCAACCTTTCAACTTCTAACGGTTAAATTTGATAAAAGCTTTCCAAAATTAAGATTAAGATCTTGCTTATAAAGAAAGCTATATATTAAATCTTATACTTATTATTAATATCTTTAATTCTTGTTTTTGTTTTTGTTGAGAAGAACTTAAATCAAATAAAATGTTTATTTATATATAGTTTTTGGTTTTTGTAATGTTAAAATATTTTATTAGATACAAATTAATAATGAAATGTTGTAAACAAATATATATAATTGATTGATGAGTTTCAAACAATTAATAACAAACTATGTCAACATGGAGTAAATTAAAAAAAAAAAATCATTTATTGCATTTGTTAGTTATAATTTTAATTAAGGACTAATTGCATAAAATCAATATAATTTGGTCAATATCCAATTTAACCATCATATATTTTTTTTTTCTTTTAAATTATCACTAATGTTTTCAAATAATTTTATCGCGATCATTATATTTGTTGCTTTCGATTTTGCATGTTTTTTTCTATAAAACCGCTAAAATTTACAAAAATCCAATTGCAACTATTATTGTTTATTTGTTTTTTTTAAATAAATTTATTATTTATCAATGACATTCAATATGAATCAAATATTGTAACTTCTTTTGTTATTTATAAAAAGCCATCCAATAAAACCACTACATTTTTTTAAGTAAATATATAAAAATTTACACTTATTTTGTTATTTATATGAATAAAATATTGAAACTTCTTTGCAATCAAAGATTATATGAAATTTTTTTTCTACATATACATTTTTTTTTTTGAATGGCAGCTTGATTGATTAGGTGTTAGTATTACTACTCAAAATTTTGTTAGCACCAAGGATCAAACTTGTCATCCTTATCCTCGCAAACTATGAGGTTATTACCAGTTAGGTTATTCCTAGTTGGCTTCTACATGTAAATTTTGACTTAGTGAGTGTAGTTTTTGGGTCACATACGGTGAGTGAAAGAGTGTCCAGATGGATCCATCAAAGGTTGAATGATATAAAGAAGAAATTAATGTTTTTCCAAAAATGAATGAGTCCTTATGCATTTTGGTCCTTCTTGTATAAAGTAAAACTCCAAATCTTAACGATCATGAGAGGTTGAGATTTTGAAATAAAATTGAGATTTTATGTAATATGTTGAATGTGTGAATCTCATATATTTATTCACATTTTCAAGAAACCAGGATCAATTCCCATTTCAATGCCATCTGACAGGAGGTCAAGAAACCACTTCTAGGTTTCCTTATTTTCAAGTGCTGCCACAGCCCATTCAATATGACAGATATGGTTGTTTGTAGTGTTGCAAAACTTGTCAGGTATTCCCAGGACGGCTGACTAGCGTCTAATGAGTATTCGATCTAGGCGATAAGCACTCGAATTTGATAAATTATATGAAATTAATTTTAGACAATTAGATATCAAATATAACAAGCTTAGTAAAAATTATAACAAACTGGTTGAATATCAATAACTATTATAGATATTTTCTAAAAACCAAATCGACATTTTCTGAGTTTTCCAGTTGTTTTCAATTTTTTCTGATTTTAATCAAGTTTGACTGATTCTGAATTTTTTGTACGATTCCTAATTAGGTGCCTACGATTCGATTAATTGGTCGCATAGGCCATGTTTTTCCACACTGGTTGTTTGCATCCCTACAAACAACTACTAGTAGTTGACCTCTATATATACCTTTCAAAAAAATAATTATCTACTTAACTGCCCTCATACAACCTTTAATCCAACCATCCTTCACACCCCTAAAGCAAACATGGAATTTAGAAAAAAGTAAGTTGTAACCCTTCTTTACTGCATAACTTGTCACAAGGTTCTTCAATTATAAAGGGTTAGAGAATTTCATATCTAAATTTGGAACTATTTTATAACATCCATGGTTCTCATCATGGACAGGAAACATTGGGATGTTGTAACAACCCGTTATTTCAAAATCAGTGTATTAGTATAGATTAACTTGTAACTAGTTCTTTTTAAAGTAATAAAGAGAAATTTTTAAATACTATGTACATTTACATAATCGACCCGAAGATAACTAGTGTCGCATCAAGGATACCCCATCGTGATCTCGGACGCAATGAACCCGCGTAACCCATCATCCACATGCTCGGATCCTACCCCCAAGCCCGATCCTGACCTGAATCCTGAACCTCCTGCTCCATGTCGCGTGACCACCATTCTGAAACAATTAACATGTGAATGTCAGGGTCACATATACTTTCTGGAGGTCACCCACACTTCCAAGTTTCCCGGTTCCATCTAGGCCCTCCTTGATTCGAGTACGGATCATCTGCTTTCAGTAGTACTTCCAAGTTTCCCGGTTCCATCTAGGCCCTTTTTACCGATACCCTTCCATTGACCTCATCCTAGGCTTCCCTAGGGCACCCTCCGACCTACTCTCCGCCATCAGCTGCACTAGGAGTCCCCACCACCTCCCCCTAACTAGCTTGCGAATATTGTTACATATCCTCTCCTTAGTTAGTTGAAGCTGGTCAGAACCCTGATAGCACAAAGCAAGAAACATTCGTGCTTTGAGTAACCAAACCAGGCATAACCTACACAGGCCATCCTACTGTTGACTACACTGTCCTAGCATACAGCTCATACAACAGGCACATATGGCATCCTTCCTAGATCCTTAGCCCTAACTAGCATGTAATTCTCAGAATCATATATCATGCACACAAGGCATCCTCCTAGATCCTTAGTCCTATTCTAGCATGCAGTTCTCTGAATCAAAACCATATAACATAACATAACAAGTATAGGTATCTTGGGGAAAACTTACTTGAGCCCAGCCGGTCGCACGCATCACACACTTCGTCTTTCTTGAAAATTTCTCAGTTTAAACTTTAGAAAACCATATTACCTTGAAAGATCTTTTTAGTCCCTTGGTTTGAGTCCAGACACCCCTGAGGGTGTGTCCAAATCCTTCAAACCAATGCTCTGATACCAACTTATAACGATCCAAATTTCAAAGCCAAAAATTTTATTTTTTTATCTACCGCGTATAATAAACATTTTACCAAAACCTTTTCAATAAAACATTTCATTACAAATTCATAATGTTGTATTTCAAACCATAACATCATAAGTATTAAAAAACATAGTACAGTCCAAAAAACTTCTTGCGGAAACATGTGTGTGTGTGTAATGCACTACTACACCGCCAACTTTTTCCCCTTCGGCGAAGAGGTACCTGAAACCAAAACCAAAATTGTACGCACAAAGCTTAGTGAGTTCCCCCATCATACCACATACCATACAAGATCGTCGGTATCTTTCAACCGGTAACCTTCATTGGTATCATTCAACCGGTAACCATCATCGGTATCTTTCAACCGGTAATCAACATCGGTATCTTTCAACCGGTAACTGGGGACTATTTCACCCCTACCACTAGCATACATTCAACATATATAAGCATACAGTCAGGCATATTCGAGTACTGACCTACCCTTGGGTCCTAAGGACCACTGTCAGGGAAACTAATCCCTACCATACACATACCATACTATCCAGATAATCTTCATAACCAGACCAAGATAATTATCACAAAGACCATTATCTTTTAAATACCCCTTTTTTGGTGGGCCGACATTGTGGCCTTAGACCTACCCCTACTGGAAGGTAACTCACCTCGATATCGTGCAGTGTCTGAACTATCCTCGGCGCACAAGTCGACTCCCAACGACTCCTTGATCCCTACACGACAACCTTCAAGTCAACACATATCACATACAACCCTAAACAGGGTTAGCCCAAGTTCAGTAAAAGTCAACATTGGTTAAAGTCAACATTCAGTTGACATGACTCATCAAGTTGGCCTATCAAATCGTCGAGTCCATGCTTCTCTAATCCCACACAAAACCCCGACTCCACTCGTCTAGTCTAGCAAAAACTCGATGGGTTCTCCTTCAACCATAACATCGGGACCATCTTCATCCGACTCGCCGAGTTCCTTATTGAACTTGTCGAGTTCATCTCCAACTTAAGAACTTGTCCAGTCTATGACTCGCTAATTTGTATGAACAACTCGTCGAGTCCATCTTCAAATATTGGGAGATTGCTATGGACTCGCCAAGTCTGCTCATACCACTCGCCAAGTGCCATGACTTCCAGGTCCCTTTTTGCGTCTAAACCCACAAGGGACTTCCTTCCTAACACTTACCCATTCACATAAATGGTTTGGTGCACAATGGTCACCGACTCGTCGAGTGCTAAGAGCAACTCTCCGAGTCCAACCTTGACCAATTCCATACATACAATTTAAATGAGATCTAACACACCAAAACCATATATCTAGCCTCCTAATGTCCATTTTATATGTAAAGTTCCAAACTTGATGCACATGCATGGGGTTTTTAGCTCAAAAATCCATATAAAGTGTCCTACAATGTGAATGGGGCTCTCATGGCCCTAAAGTTGGCACATTTATGCCATGAGACCCCTCTTAAGGCCCAGATCTGAAGGCTAGAGTCCACATAACACTCCTTAAATCCAAAAATGGATTGAAATCCCTAAATGCACCCAAGATCTACAATCCAAAGATGAACAACCAAATGGAAGGCCAAAGCAGGCGCATTTTACCTTGATTAAGCTGAAGATGGGATGAGGTTTCTGGATCCACAAGCCCCCAAGTCGAATACTCAAGCTCCTCTTCTTCCTTCCAAGCTTCACAAGTAAACAAAAACACCAAAATGGCCTTCACATACACAAAAAACGGCTAGGGTTTCGATATGCAGCTCTAGGAGAGTGTTAGGGACAAGGGAGGCTAAGTTAAGGCGTTTATATAGGGTGCAAACCCTCATATTAGGGTTTTTGTCCATACAGCACGAACTATTCTAGTCCGGTCTCTGACTCGCCGAGTCAGCAACTTAACTCCCGTGTCCAAACCACTTCTACTCGACGAGTTGGGCCACCAACTCGCCGAGTCTCA